AGCCATTCCCTGGGGGCTGTCCCTGCTCCCCCCAGAGCAGAGCTCAGTCCTGCCCCTCCTCTGCCCCTGCCCAGGCAGTTGGAACTGCAGGGAGGTCTCCCCTCAGTCTCCTCTGCTCCAGCTGAACACACCAAGTGCCCTCAGTGTCCTCACACGCCTTCAAATCCAGGCCCTTCCCCATCCTCGTTCCCTCCTTTGGACACTCTCCAATGGCTCAATCTCTCCTTCCATTGTGTCCCCCCAAACTGCCCCAACATTGAGGTGGGGCCCCAGGGCAGAGCAGAGCGGGACAATCCCCTCCCTGCTGCTCCCAGGACAGGGATGTCCCTCCTGGCTGCCAGGGCACTGCTGACTCAGGGACAACTGGCACCCACCAGCACCCCCAGGGCCCTTTCCTGATATTGGGAAAGAGCAATTCTATTGCAATGTTTCTACCACCAAAATTCCCCAGCAGCTCAGGAGTGTCTGATAACCCTCAACCAGAGAACCCTCTACTTCCCCCTTGCCCCCCCAGAGCAGAGAAGATGCAGTTTCTTTAATTGCAGTATGAAAAGTTGATTGAAATTCCACCTCCTTGTCTCCAGATACCTCTGCCCATTCCTGACTATGCCCTTTGCTGCACAGTTTAAAACTCCTAAGTCATACACTGAAAAAAAAAAAATTAAAAAATCCCATTCTTTTTAAAATGACCTTTACATTAAAATTGTTCAATATCTCTATTTTATGTACCAAAATGCAATTCATTCAACCATAATAAATATCCAGAGGAGTCCTGGGAGACCCCAGACATTTGGATCTGGCCAAAGCAGGCAATGAATTTCAGCTCAATATTGCAGGCTTATTTGTTTTGCTATTAATTCTAGCAAGGACAATTGATCAGTTGTTTCAGTTTTAAATCAGAGAGGAAATATCTGACTTTGGTTTCCCTCGTGGTCATTCAGTTGCTGTCTCTGAGCTCCAAAGATCACTTTTGATTATTCTTTTCTGTGGGTAATCCAGCTGCCCCATGTGAAAAATATCAGCTACCCTTTCCCCATTAGATTGGAGATGATGCAGTTTGCTGAGTTTTAATTATATTCATTTGAAAACAGCCTGAAGAATAAGGTGTGGTACTATGGACACTGCAAAGGCAGAGCTTTGGCAGAGCCCTGCAAGGTCTGGGAGCTCGTGGGCTGTGCAGAGCCTCAGTTTTCCACTTTGGAAGGTTTGGAGAGTGTGAGACCTTCTCATCCTGCCCTGTTACCACAGTGTTTCTGCAGGCACTGCCCACACCTGCATGGCCTGTAAAATAAAGATTTCCTGACACTCTTCCTCTGTATTCTGGCACCACCTGCCACTTTCTGTCTCTCTATTATTTCCACACCTTTCTCAGATTTCTCTTTCTGTCTGTGCTGCAACTTAGCACTTTCCATCTCAGGACTGTTTGAAGTCTTGAGTGCTCCCTCCACCACCTCCTCT